CTTATTTTAATTATTTAGTATCTTTTTTTTTTATATATTTTTAAATTTAATATAATTATAAATATTTTTAATATAATTCAATATATATTTTATATAAACTTAGAGATTTCTTACAAATATTATAAAAAATAAATTATTAATATATATATATAGCTTTAAATTTATAACTTTTAAATATAAAAAATTTAGTATATTCTCATATAAAAAATTTTACTGATATATCTCTTATATAGTATTTAAATGATTTAGTTATATTTATTGACCAATTTCTGAATTTATATAAAATCAGATGATCATTAAAATTGAGATATTTGAAATTTGAATATTATATTAAGATTAAAAATTATTTTAATATACTGTATAAAGATGATTTTAAAATAAATCCTGATGTATATTATTTTTTATATAAAGAAAAAATTATATAAATATACAAATTATTTATTAATCAGTATAATAACAGTTAGTTAAAAATCTTTAACTATTCTGACTGATTTAAATGATCTGGATAATAGTAATAATATAAACAATTTTTACTTTAACTATTTATTATTTTGCATATCATTTATTTTAAATATTTTTTTATTAATTAAAATAAAATATTAATATAAAATTATAATTACTGATTTAAAAATCTGTCAAATTAGGCTTTAAATGATAAATTTATTATATACTAATCATAGTTACTAGTTTATTTAATTTATATAATGACACGTGAATTAAACTTATATTTATTTTAAAAATTTAAATACATTTTTTGTAATATATTATATATAATGTTTTGTTCTAAAAGATTCTAAAATGTTCGTTTATTTGACATAAATTTTTTTTGTTCTAAAACTAAAATGTTCGTTTATTTGACATTATTTTTTTTGTTCTAAAACCTTTGAGTACAAAACCTCAAAATTTGCTTACTGAAATGGTAATTTTCATGCTTTTAATTGTTAAAAAAAACTTTCAAATTACTGCCAATATGACACATAATGTTTTGTTCTAAAAGATTCCAAAATGTTTGTTTATTTGACATAATTTTTTTTCCTAAAATCTTGATATAATAATTTTTATGCTTTTAATTATTAAAAAAAAACTTTCAAATCACTATATATTTACTATATGAGAATAGCTAATATGACACATAATGTTTTATTCTAAAATATTTAATCTTTCTAAATGTTTAAAGTGTTTACTTACTTATTATGGTAATTGTCAAGATTCTAATTGTTAAAAGTATTTCAAAAAATGAGGAAGATACAGATTCTAAATTATTTCAACAATTTTGATTCTTTTACGCAATTTTAATATGTTGATTATTTTACGCGATTTGCATATATAATCAGTACTCTCCACTTAAGACGTTTTTCTCCCTCTCGCTCAAATAAAATTTTTCTATACTATATTATTATTCATAGATGCATGTAATAGTTCTTTTATCTTTTACATAATTTTTTATCTCTTAATCTATTAAGAGATAACCTTAACTTCAAACAAAATGAAACAAAAGAGTGAAACGAAAAGTGAAACCTGAAATGTAAGCAAAACTAAGATTTTTTTCACGTTAAAGTCTATAATAGATTACAGTTAAAAATAGCAAAAATGAGCAAATAAAAAGCGATAATTATTGGGTGAAGGTATTTATTATGCACGATGATGAATAAAAATGAAAATCACGAAAGTGAAACAGAAAATAAAAGTGAAATAGAAAGCAAAATAGAAAGCGAAAGTAAAACTAAGGACTCTTTCACGTCAAGGTCCATACTTATTGGAGGGAAAGATACTTATTGTGCTCAATGTTGCTTGATATTGAGTAATCAAGTTTTAATGATATACTATATATTATGAGTTAAAATTATTCATGCGTTAGCTTTTTCTTTTCCTTGAAAAAATGAGGTTAAAATCGAGAAATAAAGCTGAAAATAAGAACTGAAGCTGGAGTACACTTTCGCATCAAGGGTCTAAATCAGAAATTGCTAGAGAAAAAGGTACTCATTGCGTTTAATATTACTTGGTATTGAGTAATCAAGTTTTAATAATACTTTGTATATTATGAGTGAAAATTACTTATGCATTGGCCCTCTTTTTTCTTTATTTTTAGGAATAAAATGAAAGATAGATTCCTTTTGATCGAAAGATGAGAATTGAAGCCTAGAATCAAAGTCACAAGTGAAAATTGAAGTCAGAGGATACTTTCATGTTAATAGTCTATATTAGATATTATTGAAAAGATACTTATTGTGCTTAATGTTACTTGGTATTGAGTAATCAAGTTTTAATGATACTTTGTACACTGTGAATGAAATCACTTACGTATTGATCCTCTCATTTATTTATTTTTAAGCATTTACTTTAAAGATAGGTAGGTTCATTTCGACTGAAAAATGATGCTGAAGCTGAGAAACGAAGCTGAAAATGAAAATCGTAGCTGAAGATTTTTTTTGCGTCAAAAGGTCTATACTTTTTAGAGAAAAAGGTACTTATTGTACTCAATGTTACTTAATATCGAGTAATTAAGTTTTAATGATACTCTGTACATTGTGAGTGGAAATCACTCATATATTGGTCCACTTTTTTCTTTATTTTTAGGAATTAAAATGAAAGATAGATTCCTTTTGATTGAAAGATGAGAATCGAAGCTTAGAATCGAAGCTGAAAGTAAAAATTAAAGTTAAAAGGCACTTTCGCGTCAAGGATATATATCAGAAATTTCTGGGAAAAAGATACTTATTGCACTCAATGTTACTTGGTATCAAGGATCAAGTTTTAATGATACTTTATATATTGTGAGTAGAAATCACTTACGTATTGGCCCTCTTATTTTTTTATTTTTAGATATTAACATCAAAGATAGGTAGGTTCCTTTTGACCAGAAAATGAGAATTGAAGTCAAGAATCAAAGCAAAAATTAAAGCCAAAGGACACTTTCACATCAAGGATTCATATTAGATATTACTGAAGAAAGGTACTTATTGTGCTCAATGTTACTTGGTATTAAGTAATCAAGTTTTAATAATACTTTGTACATTGTGAGTGGAAATCACTCACACGTTGGCCCTCTCATTTATTTATTTTAGGTATTTACTTCAAAGATAGGTAGGTTTCTTTTGACCAAAAAAATGAGGCTGAAGCTGAGAAGCGAAGTCAAAAAGTGAGAATCAAAGCTAGAGAACACTTTCGCATCAAGGGTCTATATCAGAAATTACTGAGAAAAAGGTACTTATTGCGCTCAGAAATTACTGGAGAAAAGGTACTTATTGCGCTCAATATTACTTGGTATCGAGTAATTAAGTTTTAATGATACTCTGTATATGTGAGTGGTGAAAGGGTCCAAGGAATAGTTCTGTTAGACAGACGTGTAATATGAATTTTTGAGTAATCACTCACGTGTTGGCCCTCTTTTTCCCTTAATTTTTAGGTATTTATATTGTACATAAGTTTTGAGATTGAGAACGAAAAGTAAAGCTGAAGACAAGCCAAAAATGAAGCCAAAAAGAAAATAAAGGACACATAATATCAAAGATAAGAATGGGAAATAAAAATATGAAACTAAAAGAATGAGAAAGATGAAAAAAAAAGAAATAATAATAATAAAATAAATACACCCGATTTTTTTTTGAGTAAGCTGGGAAGAAGCTAAATAATATGATCCACAACAATCAAATCTATCTAAAAAATAAAATATTTAATGAAAAGATTTGCTGATGTAAATTAAAGTGATCAAACAAAAGACCTAAAATAAAATGTAAAAAAAAAAAAACCCCAAATCATCAATCAAACGCGAAAAAGACCCAAATATTAAAGAAAAAAAATTATCTATTCTTACAAAATGATCCAACAGAGGCAGATAAAAAGCTAAAAAAATAAGATAAAAAATTCCCGATTTAATTAAAAAAAGAATATAATTAAACTTTTATAAAGATGCATAAAGTAAAAGTATAAAATACTTTGAAAATGTATAAATCTTATCTAGCCAATTAAACTAGTTCATTCAGCGCAGTAGTAGAATATAATAAACTTTTTTATGCTAATTAACTTAAAGGCAAACTGGGATTATTTGTAGATACACCCAAGTCAGACAATGCAATACCTTTCCTATCGGCGAATTCCTGAATCTATTTTTTTGTTAAAATTAACATGATAAATGGATTCGTCTTCTAAAATCATTTTCAAAATCCACGATCAAGCGAGTTATAAGTCACATAGCATTATTTTCGGCGTTGGGCCGGATATAAGCCGGTCCAGTTTAAATAAAAAAAAGACCGATGTTATTTCGATTTTTGAACCGAAACCAGATTTAACCAACAAAGGATTTAAATCTATTCAGACCCGTTTAAGAAAGATTTATTCAACTTTATTTATTAATACGATTCTTGTGTGTAGTTGGTTATCATATATGGAGACACGATAAAGTTTTGAAAGGGTAAAGATAGAATTTTATTAAACTTCAAGATTTCGGAGGTCTCATCATCAATCCTATTCTTTAATCAAGGCGGATTTTATACAAAAATTCTAATACTAACTTTTTCCAAATAAAATAAATATAACGATAAAAATAATTAATAAAACAATAACGAATAAAGTAAAATAACAACTAACTAAAATTAACAATTCTAATTAATTAAAAATATTTTAGCATACATATTTAATATAAACATACATAATTGATGATATTTTAACATTTTTTCCGCAGTTTCTGCGCCATTCGTAAATCGCCGATTTCTTATAACACCGGTCTTTTTTGGCATTTTAAATTATACACTTGCTCGTAGCATCTTAATTTAGTAATCATTAATTGACCGCGTGACGGACCGATCCCGAGATAGGTCATATGATAGGATCGCGATCGTTAACATCCCTAATTGAAACTTTTTTTTCGATTTATTTTGTTGACAAAAAATTCTCTGTGAACTTGAATAAAAAGCAATTCAATAAATAAAAGAATATTCTTTTTTGATCGGGTTATAAGAAACAAAATATTCTAAAAAGACGATTTATTTTATTTTGTTGCAATGGGCGATAGGAGAAAAAAGCTTGAAGAATTGGTAGCTAAACGTAAAGTAGCTGACGAATCTAACGAAGGAGATAATGACAAGTTGGGTTATTTTTTTTATTCGTGTTTTATTTTTTTAAAAATAAAAAATAAAAAGTCTCGGGATTGTGAAATATTTTTAACATGGTACATTTCAATATTTTTTTTTTAAAAAAATATCAAGTAAAAAGAATAAGCCAAAACCAAAATCTAATGCGGCAGCGCCTGCGAAAGCTACAAAGTCACAAACTTCTCCTGCCACAAATCCTAAGCAATCTTCACCTGCAGCAAAATCTAAAGGGGGTAGACCAACACGTCAGGACCAATATGAAGAAGATGGCTTCATCGTGGAAGAAGAAGAAGAAGGTATTATTATAAATGTTCGATCAAATTTATGGCATTATTATTTAAAATATCACTTGAATTTTCTTATTTGTACGCGTTAAACGAATAATTTTCTAAAATATTAAGAATATGTTGGCTAATTTTGAATAAAAATAGAGGGAGAAGTAGAATCAGAAACTGAAAGTGGTTCAGTGTCTGAAGCGTTTAGTGTATCAAATGAATCATCCGAATCTGATTCTGACGACGGAAAAAAGAAAACGAAGAAAGGCAGCAAACAAAAACAAAAAAATAGCAAACCTAAAGTATTATAAAATAGATATATTAATTTCAATAATTTTTAATTTGTATAACTGAAAATTATGGTTAACTTTTTTTCCTTATTATAATTGTTAGCAAAAGAAGAGGACAACAAAAAGAAAAAAGGATGAGGATAGTGACGATGATGATGATTCCGAAGATGATTCAAAGAGAAGATCTAATAAGAAAAATAAAAGGGAATCAGATTCAGACGATTTTGAATTCTTAGACGATGATGTTCAAGCGATTGATACAAGTTTAATCATAAAGGAACGAAGGACGAGAGGAAAAAAGATAGATTTTACAGGAATGGTAAAAATATTACGAAATTATTATTTAAAAACGTTCGACTATTCGTAAATTAAATTTTACTTTCGTTATAATTTAAATGATATTTAGGATCCTTACGATGACAAATGATTATTGTGATACAAAAAAAAGAACCTTTTTTACTCTCCCAGTTAAAAAGAAAAGGTTTTCATATCATTGTCAAATTCTTATTTTTTTTTTTTTTTTTTTTTTTGAATCAGTTTGAAAAGCTATTTTAGATAGATGAGTATTGTCTTTTACGTTCAAGGAAGTTCAATTATAAATAGGATTAAGAAAGGAACCATCTTAAGATAATGAGAGAATAACTTTTTTCGAAACAAAAAAGATAAATAAATAAAAACAAAAAAAAAAATTAAATATGATCAATTAGCTAGCACTCAAATTTAATACAGTTTCATGTAAATCTGTAATTAAAGATTCTATTAATAAATGCATCAAAATAATTACTTGACTATTCTATAAAGTCACGGTTCTGTAAAGCTCACGCTATCAATGAAGGCTATATAGTCCGTTTTACACCTGAATAAACTAAAGAGAATATTCGGTGATCCCTTATCATTATACACAATATGTTTCGAGCCAGATATATAAATTACTCCTTTAACAGTAACGAAAAAGTTGGATGCGTTTCCAGACATGACTTAACATACTTGAACTGACCAGGATCACCGACTTCTTGATCGAAATATATTTACAATCGCCTATACTTACTAGGAAAATACTCCTCGTTTACTGTAAATGGGATCATCAAATTCGTGTAACCACAACACTACAATTCGATTACATATTCAACTTAAAACGAAGAAATTTAAATCACGAGCATTGAGATCGTAGTTTAAATTGATTAGCCAATAAAAGATGGTTGACTAAAATTCTTATATATTAGCATGTGATTGATTTACTTTTTTTTTTTAAATAGAAGCAATATATTCGGCAGATCATTAAATTGATTATTATCTATTAAAAAAATGTCGGGTCAAGACAAAACATCAAATTCTTCTACGACCTCATTAACTTCCAGTACCGCAAATACGCTAACCTCGGCTTTTAATTCTACAACTTCGGCGTTTACCTCAACGATTTCTTCATTATCAAGTGTTTTACCTACTTCCACTTTCACCTCCTCTCAGCCAAATACACAACTGCAATCTCAACAACGACAAGAGTCACCTTCCTCGTCAACAAGAGCTCGTAAATCAACAATACCTTCTGCCCATTCTGAAATAAGAAGAAAATCTTCATTTACTAGTGATAGTAGCGGAAATAAACCTTCTCATAACGTTAATAAATTAACTGAAGAAATGTTTAGCAAAGTTGGTGAATATCTAAAGGGAGAAATTTTAGGTATTTCATATATATATATATATATTTATTTATTTATTTATTTATTATTTTTTATTATTTTTTTTTGTTGATTGCAGAGTTTTGATAATTTATATCAATTGTTAAATAAAAATATATATAGCTACGACAGAAGATTATAAATTATTAGAAACAATGAATAAAGTTACCAGAGATAGATATAAGGAAATGTCTGGAATGGCACAAAATTTAGTAGTGGAAATGTCTAAATTACAAAGGATTTGTAAGTTATAGGAAATAACTATTAAAAGATAAATTACAATTACTTTTTTTAAAAAATTTGGTTATTATAGATTCAGATTTTGAACCTTACGTTCAACAAATTGATGAAATTTGTGAACAAGTGGATTTTTTGGAAAAGGTTTCTGTAGAGTTAGATGAATATTCAAAAGAATTAGGTAAGTCTTAACTTTAATGGATAATACATTGAAAGAAATATGTTTAAAATAATTTATAATTCTCTTTTAGAATCGCGTTTAAAAAAATTAAAATGATTATGTTACAGAAATGTGTTGGAATTAGAATATTAGAAAGGTTTTTTATTATATATATATATATATTTTATTGTATTCGTAGGTTAGCATTAAACTAAGATATAGCAATTTATCTAAAATAATTTTAATAATCATTTTTAAAAGCAATGGCTCTTCTCCTCATACACATTATCGAATTGTAATTAAAATTATTCACCAAATTCCCCAAAAAGATTCTAATTCACAGCAAAATTTAGAACATGCAACTGCTGCTGAAAGAGGATATTGAGAAATTCCAATTTTCTCATCTATCCAATTGTCAGCGAAGTCATCATTACCATGAGCCATAGCCCCGACGACAACACAAATTGAATGATCAGAGGGTAAAGTTGGCAAATATTGGGAAAGACGAACAGGTTGAGCATCATATGAAAGTGCTATTCGAATCAAAAAAAAAAAAATTATTAAATTTCGTATTGAAACATTTTTTTTTTTTCAAAAGACTAAGATTTAAAATAAATAGATATCGTACTTAATTTAACACAATTTGTAGGAAGATAATTTGTAATGGGGTTTTTTATAACTCGTAATAATTTTTCGTTTCCATCCGCCGAACGAATACACAATTTATGAAGAAGTTGTACTTTAGAAAAAAAAAGAAATTAATTAGATGTTTTAATTTTAATTCATAATTAAAAAAATACAAATCAAATTTACCCATCAACCCAGAAAAACGTTTGAACGTTCTTGGTATTCTAACATGAGGACTGACTTCAATTAATACACCATTTACCGTGTGAATATAAATTTGCATTAATCCAGCTTTATTTAAAGGACTATCCAGTAAGGCCATTAAACACTAAAAATAAAAATAAAAAAATCAAAATTTAGATGAGGGAGTTTTTTGAATGATATACGTCAACTTCTTTCTACCAAATTAGAAGTTGAAAATGTTAAGAATAATAATTTAGTAGAATGGAAGAAAACGAGAAGAAATTGGTTACTTGATGTGTTATATCTGGTCTACAAATCTCGCTTCCTAACTTTCTTAAAGTTGCTTGATGGTCATCGCCATTTGCTAATTGGTATTGTGATGGTTTAGAATTAGAAACTTTAAAGGTTTTTAAATCTGCTTTATCCAATACAACGATTAATCTACGTGTCGACTCTTTTTCTTCAAGAGTTTTAGGAAGCTTCGGAACTTGTGGAACAAGGTAAACATCGGTATTCACATGTAAATTCTTCGCATAATTATCATTTTTTATCTCGTCTTGCGTAGTTGATATAATATCATCAGTTTGAGTAGCTACTGAAACTTTATTAACTCCTTCGTTATTGGAAGTCTTTTTTCGTGTTATCTGTTTTGAGCTTTCTTCGTCTGAACTGCTGGTATAATAAGCATAATTATTAACAGTTGAACTCTCTTCATGTTTGGTCTCTTTAGCTTCTTTCTTAAGCTTTTTAAAGACTCGTCGTTGTTTGGTTCGTGTCATTTTTTATCTAAAATCAAAAACGTAAAATTAAGAAATACCCAGTTGTCGCGATCTGTATTATCATGTGATGTGTCAGCACGTGATTTTTATCAACGTGATATTTATCAGACTATAATAAATCGAAAATTTTTTTAATCAAAACGTTCCTCCTTTTTTTCTTTCCGCTCTTGTCATCAATAACGATGGTGAGTTTTTGATCAATCCATCGTATTTATAGTGGAATACTATAAAGTGATGTTAATTTATATTTAAGGATTTAAATTATCTTTTTTTGAATAAAAAGAATTCGCAAGTATCAATATCTTAATTGAAAAGAAAAAAAAAAAAGTTTAAATGTGTATCAGAAAAATAACTTGTTTGAATAATTCATCAATTTTATTGAAAGAATTAATTAACGAATTAATTAGATTTATTTGATAATTCTTTATACTGACATGAATACTTTAATTTAAATTGTCAGTCTGCGGCTATAAGACCCGAAATCAATATTTACTCCGAGTCAGGAGATAATTGTATCGGCACTCATGTACTTCCAGCTGTTTTTAAAGCTCCAATTCGTCCTGATATTGTGAGAGTTGTTCACATGAACATCTCAAAGAGCAATCGTCAGCCTTATTCAGTTTCATCAAAAGCTGGACATCAAACTTCAGCTGAATCCTGGGGTACCGGTCGTGCTGTTGCTCGTATTCCTCGTGTGTCTGGGGGCGGTACTCACCGTGCTGGACAGGTGATAAAGCATGATCGATTTAATGAATTATTATTATTAGCATATAAAATCGAATGTAATTTAAAATTAATTTAAATTTTTTTTTTTCACTCTCACACACACATCAATATCAAATGTTAGGGTGCTTTCGGTAATATGTGTCGAGGTGGTCGTATGTTCGCACCAACCAAAATTTGGCGTAAATGGCATGTAAAAACTAATTTGAATCAAAAAAGATTTGCTATAGCATCAGCTTTAGCATCATCATCAATTCCATCACTTGTAATGGCAAGAGGTCATCGTGTTGAAGAAATTCGAGAAGTACCACTTGTAATTGGTAATGGTATCGAATCCTTAGCCAAAACCAAAGCAGCAGTAGCACTTCTTAAAGCCGTTCGTGCTTATAGAGATGTAGTAAAAGTTTCAAATTCTCGTAAATTAAGAGCTGGTAAAGGTAAAATGCGTAATCGTAGACATCGTCAACGGAGAGGTCCACTTATTGTTTATAACGAAGATCATGGTGTCGTTAAAGCTTTTCGTAATATCCCTGGTGTTGAATTGGTTAACGTTAGAAGATTAAATTTATTACAATTGGCACCCGGTGGTCACATTGGTAGATTTGTTATTTGGTCTCAAGGGGCTTTTGCTCTATTGGATGATTTGTTTGGAACTTACAAAAGACCCGCTACTCTCAAAAAAGATTATCGGTATGTATTATCATTTTGTCGCCATATATATATATGTGTGTGTCATATTTTTAAACAAATATTAACAAGATTATATATTATCACAGCCTTCCATCACACATTATTACCAATCCAGATGTTACCGGTCTTATCAATTCCAATGAAATTCAATCTGTACTTCGACCTGCTGGCGAAAAACATCAAAAACGTCCATATACTCAGAAGAAGAATCCTTTACGCAATAATGGTATTAAGATTCGTCTTAATCCTTATGCTAAAGTATTGCAAAGGGCTGAAATCATTGCAGCTGAAAAACGTAAGGCTGGTAAAATCCAAAAGAAGAAACCTCAATATAAAGCATCTACTAAGGTTTCTGAAAAGTAAGTATACTGTTTAATCTAATTTTCGATTTTTTAATTATTCTTATTCTTATTTATTTTATTTTTATTTTTTTTTAAAAAAAAATAGATACGTTAAAATCTTGTTGGATAATGATTATTAATAATTGAGAATAATATCATAATGATACAATTATAAAATGTATTTCGTCAACTTGTATATGTATATACATATATATATATATGCTTTTAAAAAAATTTATTATTAAAGGTTGTGATTATTGAGAAAAAAAATTATTTATCATTAATTAATGTTATTTTTTATTCATAAAGTAATTCATCGCGAAAACAAATTTTCTCGTTTATTAATCGAATTCTTCAAAAATACAAAACAAATATAAATATATATTTTTTTTAAGGCTCTCTCGGACCAACAAATTTCGATATTAGGTGCAATCTTATAATATAAAAATCTAGTGATTATAGACGACATTAAGAATTTATTATAATTTTTGGCAAATTTAAAAAAATTAAAATTATATAACGCACTTTATATTTTTTTTTTTAACAATAAATTTTACGTATTTAAATGATATAAAAAATTAACAACCTAATTGCCAATATTAAACTTATTAATTAAGAATTATATAAAATATTTTAAGCGACTCTCAATTCATTAGCAATTTACTATAAGAATTAAATCATATTTTCAAAAAATGAATTTTATTTATAAGAGGATTAAGAATAAGGATGATTAAATTTGGTGAGCATTTTCTATAAACTGATTTTTAATTTTTTAATTTCTTATGATTCAATAATTCAAATTTATCAAATAGATAGCATTAAATACTTTTAGCTGATAATTGTGCTTATGAAATACTAAATCAAGTGATGATATAGATAAAAAATTTAGAAAATACAACTTTATATAATCTAGAATTTTTAATAAGAAGTTAAATGAAGTAAAAAATAATATATTATAAGAAATTATATCAAAATTTACTTAAAAGTATGCAGAAAAAATTTTTAAAATGAACGATAATATATTCCATTTTAAGTATTTGTCATTCAGAAGGTAATTCTAATAATGAACTTGCAAGTATATTTCTTTTATTAAATATAAATAATACTAATTAGAGGTTGGAACTGGTTAATTTTAACTTAATTAAGTGATTAAAATGGTTAACATATTTAACCAGTTAAAATAGATAAATTTAATTCTAACAGAAAGTTAATTTTTAACCAAAATTAAATTTTTATTATTACAACAATATTTTTTAATTCTGACTAAATTTAGTATTAATTTTAACAATTAATTAACTAGTTAAATGAATAATTTAACCAATTATAAATTAATTAATAATTTTTGTATATTTATATTTTTGCATTAAACAATAATATAAAATAGATAAAATATTAATTAAATTTTTCATAAATTTTAGATGCTATTTTTAATTATTAAAGTAATATTAATAATATTATTTTTATTTTAAAATTGTAATATAAAGATTGATTATTTATTATATTAATTATATTTGTTGATTTTTTTTATAATAAATAAAATTTTTTATATATGAATTTAATACTATAGTTACAAATATAAATATTTTATTATTTTATAATACTAATTAATATTGATGAAAAAGTTAAATATAAAAAGCTATTATTTTACTAGTAGTATTACAATTAATTACAATATATAATAAATAAACATTATAATATTATAATTAATTATTAGTTAGAATATAAGTAGAGAATTATTAATATTATGTAGCTTAATAAATTTATCAGTCAGTTTGTTCATTTATTATTTGAGTTAATACAATTTTATTTATTATATTTATCTGTTATACACATAATTATATATCTTTTTGCTAATATTATATGAAAGAAAACATGGATGATGATCTAAAAGATAATGTTGATTCCTAAGAAATCATATATGTCATCTATAGTATATATTTCTTTTATACAATATATTCTTTTATTTATTTTATTTTATTTATCTAATATATTTATTATATTTTATTTATTATATTTATTTCTTTTATATCTTTGATAACTTTATAATTTTCATTTTATATAAATAGAGGACAATTCTTTTTAGCTTAGCAGTGTATTTGACTCATAGTTTTATATAATAGTTTAGTTTAATTCTCTTAACATAATTGTATAGTACAAAACGTCTACTGAGGCAGTATTCTATTATTATAGTTATTAAATAAACTGTTAATTTACCAACACTTCTCTAAATCTAATTATCAAATTAAACCTTTTACTTATTACCCATAAATATTGCTTCGCTTATCATTCATAAGCATCTTAAAGAACTGACCATAATACTAATCTATTAAATAATTTGTATTATAACTTATAATCATTTTATATTTATTGCTTTAGATTTTCTAATAGTTTTTGTTATCTAATAATATTAAAATCAAGTTGCAATAGATGACAAATAGCATTATGATATTGCAATATTATTTTTAGTTAGATTAAAATATTTTAAGAATATTACATTTATTCAAAACAGATTTGTTATATTTGCTAAATCTGCTAAAATTAGTAATTAAAAATTAGTGGTCATGATTAATGATTATTTTGTTGCTTTGGCTGTAACTAAAATGATTAATTGGCTAAATTGACCAAATATCATATGACTTTAATTAATTGTAAATTGATACCTCTGACTTTAAGATGTTTAAATTCTTGTAAAAATGATGCTTCAGATGTTTAGAATGTTAATTAACTGCAAAATTGCATTCTTTTATTAAGATTTAATTATATTAATTAAAAAATGAATAATAAATTTAAATTATTTTATATTATAATTCTAAGCAACTTAAATTAGATTAATAGAATATAAAATTTATAATATAATCTAATTCAAAAAAATTTTAGCTTATTAAAATTATTATATAAAAATAAAAATAAATTTAATATTAATTTTGTTAAAAATAAATTAATATAAATAATATAAATAACTAATTTCTTTAAAATTATTAATCAGATATTAAATTTTTATTATTTTCAAATTTTAAAGATTAAATAAATATAAAATAATGATTCTACCGTTTGTGATTAATAAGTCATAAGTTTTTTAAAATAAAAAAATTAAAATTAATGTAAAAATATTATTTTAGGCCGGCCAAAATAAAATTCGGCCAAACGGCCAAATGCCAACAAATGCGCTAAGGTAAGCAATATTGTTGAATGGTAAGGTCTATATATATATCTGGAATTTTATTTAAATCATTGTTGTGCATTATTACGTTTCTCTTCAAAAGTTTTATTTGAAACATGATATTGAGAACCACAAGTATTAATCATCTTTATAAATCGAGAATTTTCAACTGATCTATTATTAGGCCAAGGATCAGTTTGCTTAAAATTGATTGTTTTCAACATTTTTTATATCGTGGTCTTTCTCAAAATCATAAAAATTTAGTAATACGTTTTTGAAAGCTGTTAACAATTCAGTTGACTTCAATAAAAGAAATAGTTTAGAAAACTTTTCATTTCATGAATAGAAACCTTTTTGAATTCATTTTTTTTTTTTATTAAGCCCCGAATATTGAATTATTCATTGTTAATTTTTTTTTCCCGAATATTATATATATGCAAGTTGTACAATATAAAGTTGTGTACACAAATAACCTGATATAAAAAGTTTAATTTAAATCTTGTTAAATTAATATTAAAAACGATCCCAAAATAAGGACTCGGTCCTAAAGTCAAGGTCTCAAACTTAACCTCACCCTATGAACAAAAGCGTAAAATTGGACTACGACGCTTCTGTTCATTTTTTTCTTATCTACAAATTTATGACCGAACATCCATCACGACCAATTAATATATAAATTTGACAGCCAATAACATAATGTGCTCAATCGTTAAACATCTATTTTAGAAATGATTATTTATTCTCTTATTCTCTCAATTTAGCATATTATGTTAATTTTGGTAACTTTTTTTTTTGAAAAGATTGTTGAAACTATTTTTGAAACCAAGAATTTTTTTTTTTTTGTCGATTTCTTTTTTCTAAAAATAAAACGTGCTCTATTTCAGTTTTCCTTTCAAAGTTAAGCTTGAAAAAGCGGCGTAATTAAAGATCTTCGAAAAAATTAGAGACTTTTAAATTAAATACCGAATAAAAAGAAAGTCACCTAAAAAAAAAAATAATAATTTGTGGTCCGAGTGTCATTTGAACTACAAATATTCTAAAAAAAAAAAAAAAAAAAAAAAAAAAAAAAAAGTTAATTTTATCAAAACCAAAAAAAAACTACAAATTTATTTTACAATTGTGTTACAGTTGAAATTCCTTGGGAATCACCCAAGCTTTTCCTTATTGAAAATTAAGTGAGCTTTTATGAATTTCTGTATTTGGAAAAATATACTTAATTTGACATATATTTCCTGTTTGTTAATAAATTATTTCTCCTTTCAAAGTTTCGTTAAGCCACGTTTTCCTAATTGACGAAAATTAGGACATGTTTTGTGATACAACCCGCCAAATAATATAATATTCTTAATTAATAATTACCTCCTCTTAATCTTTTTTTTTTCTCTCACTTTTCCATTTCTTGATAATTTATTTCGCTCTTTTGTAAAATAATACAAAAAAAAAAAAAAAAAAAATTCTATTTAATATTTTTACCATGTCAAGCGCTTCAAAAACTAAAGACGTCATTCAACGTAAATTAGTTATTGTAGGAGACGGTGCTTGTGGCAAAACTTCTCTATTGTCCGTTTTCAAATTAGGTCATTTCCCAAGGGTATACTATGCTTATTTAGATTCTTTCTTGGTTTGGCGTTATAATTTAACTAATTTACTAACATTGTTTTGTTTAAAAAATTGTCCGGATCTAGGAATATGTAAGTACTAGATCTAAGCCTTCCTCCTATTCACCACATAGTCAAACGTACAAGACACTAAGACGAAAACAACTTCTGGTGTACCCCTTTTGCCACACGATTTCTAAAAAAAAAAATACGATTTCGTTTTTTCCCATTTCTACTTTTTAAAAAATAGGTCCCAACGGTATTTGAAAATCTTGTGACAGAAATTAAAATCGATGGAAAACCTGTACAGTTGGCGTTATGGGATACTGCGTAAGTCCAAATATTAATTTTCAATCGGTCTATTACGTTTATTATTTCTCCTAATTTTTATATTGAAATTTAATAGTGGGCAAGAGGAATATGAAGTTAGTAATAACCTTATGACTTTTTGTGAATAAATCAATTTTAATGTAATTTCGATTAATCAAGTAGTTTAGCATATCTAATTTTTATTTTGTTTGTTTGTTTGTTTATGTTTAGCGTCTTAGACCTCTTTCTTATTCTAAAGCTCATGTCATTTTGATAGCCTTTGCGGTAGACATACCCGATTCTTTTGAGAACGTAGCTGCGAAGGTGGTGATAATATTTTATATTTCTAAAAATAAAAAATTCATGTATAACTTAACTATTTGTTCTTTATAATATTTCCAAATAGTGGATTGACGAGGTCCAATCTCTTTGCCCAAATGTTCCTGTCATCTTAGTAGGTTTAAAGAAAGATTTAAGAGATGACGCAACCGCTATTACAGAAATGCGAAAGAAGAGGATTTCTTTCGTCGATCCTAAACAGGTTAGAGATAGGACGGTCTAGGTTTTAGCTTCTAGAAATTTAATTTTCCATTTATAAATATAAAATTTGTATTATTAAATTTATTTAAGGGAGAAGATTTGGCACAACAAATAGGTGCTCGTAGATATTTAGAATGTTCAGCATTAACTGGTGAAAATGTCGATAATGTTTTTGAAGCTGCCTCAAGGGCCGCACTTTTGTCATATGAAAAAAATCCAGGCTGTTGTATCGTACTGTAATATACAAATATATATATATATATATATATATATATAATGATTTAATTTTGTTGATTTTTTTTTTTTTTTTTGTCGCTATTTTTCATTAATTTCTTTTTCTGGATGAGCATTATTAGAAAAGAGCGAGGAAGGAAAAAAAAATCATTTATTTATAGAGAGAGAGTTTAGAAATCGGACATTTTTACAACTATTAACTATCTAACCTCTTATTACCTCCCCCTTTTTTTTTTTTTTTTTTGATTATTATTGCCGAAATTTAATTCATTAGTTCACCTACATATACAAAACAAAAAACAGGTTCTTTTATATCACATATATGTATACATGTCATGTAGTATTATTATATTAATTATAGTTTGAAATTTACTTAAAGACAATATAGTATATAAAAAGTAAAAATTTGTAATTTATACTTGCAAAAAAAGAAATCTATTTAGTTTAATTTTATAATTTTACTTGACACATTTAAACTTAGTATTTAAAAAGATTTATTATTATTATACAAAATAAAAAAAAAAAAAAAAAATAAAATAAAATAAAATAAAAATCTGAAAAAAAAAACCTCGATTCTACCTTTTTAATTCAATTACAAAATAAAATAAAAATACAAAGCCAATGAATTTTCTTGTTACCTTTAAATAAAATAAAATAATTATTTCTTTCTCTCATTTTGATGATGCTAAACTAGCAGCGTAAGCCAAGATCCATTTTATGTTAGTTAAAGTATATCTAAGTGCTTTTGTCCATGTTTCTTCGCCTTTAAATTGATATCTTATAGATACATCACCAATTTTATCCTTGTTAATACTATACATAACATAAATATATGAGAAATTTAATCAAAAAAAAAAAAAGCGAATAGGACAAACAATGATTGTGATCCATAAAGTAAACACTTTACCGATATGGTAATTTTAATTTACGATTTTGCTGTTCAGCATAATCTCCCAACTGTTGCAAACAGTTTAAGTAGGCTACCATCGCATTATTAAAACGATTATTCAAGAATGGAGTTTTTAATGAAAAATCACCAGACCCATAACTGCAAATTAAAGATCTTATTTTAATTTATAAACAAAATAAAAAATAAAATAAAACCTGGAACCCTTACAGTTCATAACTTGTATCATCATCAATCTTTTCAATCTTAGAAAACGATCCTAAAGGGACTAATCGATATCTAAATAAAATAATTTATTCAAAATTACAATTACACAAGTTTAAAAAGAATAAAAGGAAACCTTACGTTTGAAATGTAAAATTAAGTTTATTTGCGATCGTAGAAAGTAACAGAGTTGTTTGACCCCAAGCGGCATTGATCTCACTCCAATCAACCTATGTTATATATCAAGGAATATCTGCCAAATATTACTTATAGTCTCTTCAATTTCCGATCGATCATTCACCAGATTCAAAAAAAAATGAATGACTTTACTATTACCTGTATATGAGGTAACCTGCCCAATCGAAATCCATTTATTGTTCCAAATTGATCATCTAAACCAATACAAAATGCATCATTATAAACATTGGTTTTTTGGAGTTTTTCCAATTGATTGGAATCATGAACAAATTTCAGATTGATGCTATCTCTTTCATTTAGAAATGTTTGTAGCTGAATATGAAAATCATTGAATTCTTGCCAATAACTAAGATTAAATATATAATAATTATTAAACCCATCTGTTCGTTATTTACGACAAGTAGAATTAATTAAAGTCAATGTATACCTTTCTTCAAGCTTATCAAGTTCATTTGCTTCTTCCTCTAATGCAGCCATCTCTTGTTTCAATGCATCCCTTTCGTACTCGATATTCTCTAATTTTTTAATTGCAGCCAATTCGTTAGACTTTATCTATAAATAAATAAATACATGTTAAATAAACTTAACCTAATTTAATTCAAACAATGGAAGATCTGCATCAAAAGTCTTGCCTCCTGAATTTCTTTTTGTAAGTTCTCCTTTTCGGTATCACTTATTACGTTCACATTAACTTTCTTATGAAAGTCTATATAACAATCTCTTTCTTTAGAAGCATCGGCCAGGCTTTTTTTCAAACTGTCTAGTAACATATCGGTACATTCATGACACATGGGATGTTCAATTTCCGATCTTGACGACATAACATCAAATAATCGATTTGCGATTTTAAGTCGATTACTCCAATCCGCTTTTTTT